AATAATAATAATAATAATAATAATAATAATAATAATAATAATAATAATAATAATAATAATAATAATAATAATAATAATAATAATAATAATAATAATAATAATAATAATAATAATAATAATAATAATAATAATAATAATAATAATAATAATAATAATAATAATAATAATAATAATAATAATAATAATAATAATAATAATAATAATAATAATAATAATAATAATAATAATAATAATAATAATAATAATAATAATAATAATAATAATAATAATAATAATAATAATAATAATAATAATAATAATAATAATAATAATAATAATAATAATAATAATAATAATAATAATAATAATAATAATAATAATAATAATAATAATAGTAATAATAATAATAATAATAATAATGACGAATAAACTCTGTAAGTTACAATATTCGTATATATTGTACGCTCGCTGTTCATTTTATTTCGTTATATGATATTACGAGCGTTTATTTGATTCCTTTTCGTTTCTACATTTCAAAATGATAGTGAAATACTCGGAAGATGAAAGAATTATTCGATTTAATACAGAACTAATTTTTATAAAATAAAACGATAACAAAAGGAGTAACTTTTATTTCTTTTTCAATTTGTTGATGTAATTTTCTAATGTGTCGTAAAAAAGAATTTAAGAAAATGATCAAAAAAGAACAAAAATAGAATAAATGAGAGATAAAGAAAAAGAAGAAATAAAAGAGTGAAATCGATTTCACGAGTCTAAGCAATACGAAGATGAAGCCAATTATTTTCTATTATTCTAAGAGAACTAAAGGAAACTAGTCGACTTTGTCACGAAGAAAGACAAGGATGAGTAAATGAAGGTCGTGTTACTTAAAGGGATCGACTTCATTTCCGTAAAACAAGTCGTTGGAAGCCAAGCGAAACGAAAGCCTCGAATTACTGCGGATGAATCACAGAACCGTAGCTTTAGGAAGGACGTGATTGTTAGCAAGCACAACTCCTTTTTGAGATAACGTGGACAATGACACACATACACACACACACACACACACACACACACACACATGCACACATACATACACACATGTATATATGTATATAGTTATGTGCACTCTCTATTATATAGTTTATATAAATTATGGGTATCAATTTAATAAAGTTTCTACCGGTTGAATTGATTGTAAAATGGCTTTATTAAGAGAAATTGTTTTATTAGAAACCTCCGACGTTTCTAATCGGTCTTTGGAATATTTTTTGTCTCAAGATTATTTTTTCAAGAAAAAATTTTAACAAGGGCAATAGTAAAAAATTTTTATATTAATTAATTAAAAATTGTTAAACAAATGTCGCAATCAATCATGTCATATTCAATTCATGTTTCTTTTTTATAGGTAAGTATAATATAACGTACCTGAATAAAGTTAATTTTAAGATAAGGTACTGACAATTCAACGGTAAAATGTCAGAACATTAATGACACTGAAAGTGAAGTATAGGCTATCGTCCAAGTATCTTAACGTTAGTTATTAGTTATATATATATATATATATATATATATATATATATATATATATATATATATATATAAACATTGCCAATGACGTCTTTAGATACAAGAGAAAATATAACGCATTTCGTACATGCAAGAATTTTAAGGATATTATTTAAAAATATTCCTAGTTCAAAATGAAATCATATCTCATCTACTCTTCACTTATTTTCATAACTATTCATTAAGAAAAATTAAAATAATTAATAATAATCTGTTAATCGAGGATTACTATCGTCCCAAAATCAATTTTTTTTTCTCAGAAATGCAAGAAATTCCGTGTTGGCGAGCGGTGTTGCGAGTTCGAGTGTTTGGACGATGTGGACGACACACTGGACTGGAGCGGTCCGGATTTGATAATAGTCGACGGATCATCCAGAATACATGATCAAGGAGTATTCTGGTTGACGATTTCTCTCGTCACCCTTCTCTTCCTGCCCTAGTTCCGAGACCAATGGCCTTCCGTTGCTTCTGTTCTTGCTCTTGCTGCTATCTATTAAACGCGATTATATCTGATTTAATCCGTTTCTATTACATCGAAAAAAATAATACAGCAAATAGTCAGAGATTTGATCAACGATCATGATATGCAATCATGCGAGTGCCGTCGGGTCGCCATTTTTCATGACGTGAATCCAATCTTTAAATTGTACGACGATTTTTTGATCGACGAATTAAAAAGAATGAAAGAAAGAAAGAAGTTAGCTCATAAAGACATCTTATCATCGATCGATCGATCGAAAAAAAGAGAAGTATCAGAGAAAATTTTTTTCCAAATATTTTTCTCATCTTCAACAAGGAAGGAAGGTAAATATATGGAGGAAGAAATGAATAAAAGATCATGCGATAAATTTATTAGATGACTTTAATTAGTCGGTTTATTCGCATGAGATTTGTGCGTTAACCAAGGATGATATTACAATAAATAAAGGGATGTAACTTGTGAATGATTAAAAAAGAAAAAGAAGAGATAAAAAGAAAAAAGAATACAGAATATCGTTTCTAAAGCCGTCTGATCGTTTGTATACGATGCATTAGTTAGAACCGATCTGTGATTAGATGCAAAGTGATGTCCCCGAATATATATATACATATATATATATATACAAATTTATATACACACATATACACACACATGCATACACACATATACATACATTACATATATACATAGGATATATACATACATACATATAATTTAGAATTTTCTTATACATAAATATCTCCAGATACTTATCGTCTCTTTTTTCGATATATTAAATAATAATCTAGATTTTAGATAGACGAAATTGAATCGCCCTTCAAGTGTCGTTGAAGTGAAGATACAACGAGGGATAGAGGAGAAAAAAGTATATTATCGAGAAACAGAAAGGGAAGTAGTAGTTCGCTGAGACCGCTGACTATAAATCGATCGATCCTGAAGGACTCTTTTTTCTTTTTTTCTTTTCTTGCATTTTTTTTCGAGCACCTGTCTTTATCAGGAAACTTAGAAAGCTTTTAATTATTTTTCGCAAGACTTCAAAGGAAAAATTGATCGTGATTATTATATAATGTCACGCTTCGCGTTTTTTTTTATTTTCATATATATTTTTTGTTTAACGCTTCAATATAATTTGAATACGTTAATATTTATATTAAAAATTGTTACGAGCTACCACAACCCGGCCAACTCCCTGTCCACTTCAAACATACCCAACGAACGTAATACTTTATGTCCTTTCAAACACATAACACAACAATACTGACCGCTACATACTTCACGTAAAACATATTATCAATTCAGGAAAAGGATGTAAGTATGTTTAGTAGAGTTAAAGAAGAAACGAACATGAGGGAAATGTATTTAGTTTCTTATAATACTTCTGCCGCCATCTTAATGACCATAATGACTTTGAAACTCTAAGTAGTATCAACAGTAGTAATAGCAGTAATAGAGTTAGTAGTTAATATAAAAATAGTAGTAGTGATAATAATAGTAGTAATTGTAGATACAGATGTATTTTGAGCGAAGGAGCGGCATGAAGTCACGAAGGGTGTTCGTCGGAAGTTAAAAAACTTTCATAGTGATCCGAATACAGATAGAGATAGTATTTTCTTATTCAAAAGACGGAAAGAAGTTTCGAGAAAGATATGAATATGTGAGGTGCTCGTCTATATTTCTGTTCGTATAAAAGTTTGATATATCTACGTATAAATGACAGGTGAATATATATATATATATATATATATATATATATATATGTATATATATTGTAATAAAATTCAACTGTTAGTTATCTCATGCTTTCACGTTTCTTTTTTTTCAAGAATCGATCTATCTATCATAGTTATGTATGTACATATATATGTATGTATGTATGTATATTCATATATACATACACATACACACACAGAGGCATATATATATTGTAATGACCATTTGCTAATTTGAAAAATAAAGGATTGAAAGTAACGATTATAAGATTAGAGGGAGAAAGAAAATTGATGAGAAAATTAATAAGTGTATAGGAGGAGTTTAAAAGTCAAAAAAAATATATCCTTCTTTAATTACATTCTCGATTCACGGTTAATAGGATATTTCTTCCCTCCATTTCGACTTTAAGGAATACGCTTCGATAAAGAGATCCTTTGACATTCAATTAAATTCATCCTGTGCAATTGCCTAGAGACTTGTAAGATAATAAATTAAGTACTTTTCGTTATTTCATTGAATGAATATATTCAAGATCATAAAGGATTTTAAGGCATATCGATAAAGATTTATAAGCGAAATAGAGCTTTAATTAATGAAAGGTATTGTAAGGAAATGTACATTATATTTTAATACTCATATACGTAGTATTGTAAAGGATACTTTCTATTCCTTATTTATTTTAACACTTTGGCAAATACACACACATATACACATCTTTGTAACACTTTCATATTTTATTTTTTCAATTACGAAAATGATGAAATATTTTGAAGATGGAATGTATATGAAATGTGGTATATCGTTATATTGCACCGTCTCGTTTTACTATCTTCTTTCTTTTTTTTTTTGAAAGTGTGCACGCGCGTTTGTATGTATGGGTGAAATGTATGAAGGATGCAAATTTTGTAACGTATTTACGATCGTATTTTCTCGAAAGGAATAAGATTTAAGAAAGGAAACGTTTTTATTATAATTGGTCGATCTAACAAATAACATGGTAACATGAATTAACAATGAGGTCGTGTTCAAATTAATATTTACACCGTATAAGTTGAATAACGTTCAGGACCAAGTAAATTTCTAAGATATTATAAAATTTAATTTTTTCCCCCTCCATTTATCTTTATTTCTTAATGACATAGATATTTTTTTAAATTCGTTTAATCGTTATATATTATATACATGCGTATATTAATCTTTACTCTTGACCGATCTTCCTCTTATTAAAGGTTTTTAATTAGACGACACTTAAAAAAAAAGAAGAAAAAAGAAAAAAAATAAACAAATTGAAGAAAAAAAATAAACAAAAAGAAGAAAAAAGAAAAAAAAATAAACAAATTGTTTTTATATGTAATACTATATAATATATAATCTCTTGAATGTTATGCATGCTTGTACTTTTGCAAGGATCATCGAGTTAACGTGTGATGTAATTTATATGTGCGAATTATATAAAATTGTAATATTTCGTATAAAGTTTAATCAAATTTTGATCTTTTACGATCTTAAAATAAATCAAATTAATCTTAAGGAGATAATAATGAAAAATTCATATTAATGTTCTAGATTAAGTGAATTAAAAAATTTTATGTTGAATTTATATTTGAAATGATCACGAATATGTCACTTTTTATATATTTCGTACATATGTTCCGTCACACGCTATTGAACACGATCAAAGCATTTTTACGATTCTACTCTCGCTTTTTAAGAAAATTTGACTGGTTTTTACGCCTACGCGAACACGTATGTATGTATGTATGTCTCGAGTGACATTTATTTAAAACCATCTTCGTGCGGTCGAAAGTTCTTCGTTTATCGAGTCAAATTCCTATGAAAAATCAAAAATTGTGTGTCGTAATATGCTGAGCAATCAAAGTATGATGTGCAGAAAACGAAGAAAACAAATTTTATCGAGTTTTTTTTCGAATCGAAAAAAATTTCACGAAGACCATGATATGAGAAATTGGATTCGTCAATTTAATGCGTTATTCAAATGAGAAATCTCGATGATTAATATCTCGATGAGAAATATCCATGATCTCCAATATCCATGATTCAACAAAAAGAGAGAAAAAGAGAGAGAAAAAAAGAGAGAGAAAGAGAGAGAGAGAGAGAGAGAAATCAACGAGCGATAAAATTTTGTTGAAATTCGACGACAAAATGAACGATCAAATTTTAACATATGTTAAAAAAAGAATGCTGCTTGAGGTTTGAATATCAAACACAATTTTATTCGATTGAATCGATTTGATAGATTCGGTTATTTTTTTAGATTATCTATCTGGAAAAAAAAAATCATGAGATACTTTATTTTATTTAATTTTGCAGTAATTATAGCCTCTATATAAATTAAAAAATTAATTAAAAAAAAAAACAACAAAGAATGGTTAACTGTGTTTTATTCAATTGTTTTAAATCGTGTTAATTTGTTCATTTATTTTACAATTAATCGTAATGTGATATATTTATTAAAGCCATTGATTTTTTCTTTTATTTATTTTTTTTTTTCGAAGAGAGGAAGAGACAATTATTAAATATCAAATAAAATATATAAATCAAATGTATAAATCAAAAAGAGAAAATTAAATTATAAATTTCAAATAAGGAGAGTATGATAATTCAAGTTTCATTACTGCAAAGTGTTGAAACAGATAATAATCGAAGGTACAACAGATACATGATATAAACGCGTATGTTTATTATTTAACGGCTACATTTAATGGCCTAATTATTCTTTGGAAGTGTGTTGGCTGTACCACTTGTAGTCTCGAGAAGGGACGTAAAACGGCCACTGAATATAAATTTGCAATCGATGGAATTGTTTTTTTCTCATTGTGGTGCTCCGTTTATCGCTACAGGGTATTTATATAATATCGTTTGTTATATCGACACAATCGAAATTATTCTCTCAGAGCTTAATTAAATCGCGCATGCGTGTATGGACAATATAAAAAAATCATCTTTATATATATATATATTAATATCGTTTTTTCATCTTCTTCTTCTTCTTCTTCTTCTACTTCTTCGACTTCTTCTTCTTCAACTTCTTCAACTTCTCTACTTCTTCAACTTCTCTACTTTATTCTTCTCGTGAAATAAATTGCGTGCAGTTACGACGATATGTGCGAAATTTGGACATAACGACGTCGTCCCACGTGACCAATTTTTTCAGGGAAAGAAATGAAAAATACAAAAAAGAAAAATAAAAAAAAAATATAAAAAAAGAAATACATGATATTTCGCGACATCAACGAAAAATCTTTTCGAAACGATGTGGCCATGTTATATATGTGTGTATATGTTGTGTGTGTGTGTATGTATGTATGTATGTATGTATGTATGTATGTATGTATGTATGTATGTATGTATGTATGTATGTATGTATGTATGTATGTATGTATGTATGTATGTATGTATGTATGTATGTATGTATGTATGTATGTATGTATGTATGTATGTATGTATGTATGTATGTATGTATGTATGTATGTATGTACGTACGTACGTGTGTGTGTGTGTGTGTGTGTATGAATGTATGAATGTATGAATGTATGTACGTACGTACGTACGTGTGTGTGTGTGTGTGTTTTTGAATGTATGAATGTATGAATGTATGTATGTATGTATGTATTGTATTGCGATAATAGCGAAAAAAATTCGTCCGATTTGTAAAAGAAAGATCTTCGTTATTATTAGCCCCTTTTCCACTCCTATTCATATTCCTACTTTATCGTATTAGTATATGCATACACTCATATATGTTATTAATCGATATTTATCTGAATTGAATTGTAAAGCAAAAGTTGCGATTAATAATTGATTTTAATTGTAAATAAATATGTCGCTGATGGGATTCATGCGAGTGAATTGATAATGTGGATAAAGAAATCTCTGTAGATATATCATTTCTGTTTTATCTCTACGAAATTAATTATTAATTATTAATTATTAATTATTAATTAATAATTAATAATTAATAATCATAATCGAGAGATACACGTTGTACATTATGTATTTTATCGATATTATTCTTAAATCGATAAAAGAAATAATGGTAAGTCGTTTATGGAGAAAGATTTGTCGCGCGATTATTATTATTATTTACGTGATTATTATTAGTGATCTTAAGAAATACATATAAGAGAAATCGTGTATATGTATGACTTTATTAGCGGATAAGAAAACGTATCTAATATTGAGGACGGTGTGCTTTTTCCGATAAAAAAGAAAAATGTTCTGATATTTTGCTCTCTCTGACAAACGAGAAGCCATTGTATTTAATATTAATCGACCAATTTCTCTAAGCTTACCAGTTTAAAGCCTAAAACGTTTACTGACATGGAAAAAAAATAAAAGAAGTAATAATCTATTTCAATGTAAATACATATTTAGGAAATATCTGGAAAATAATAATAATAATAATAATAATAATAATAATAATAATAATAATAATAATAATAATAATAATAATAGTAATAATAATAATAATAATAACAATAATAATAATAATAATAATAATAATAATAATAATAATAATAATAATAATAATAATAATCTTGCTATAATAATAAGTAATTACTTTTCATTGTAATTATATCGTTTAATCATCAAGGGGCCTTTTATGTATGAATAATCATTCTAAATCCACATTAAAAGATTTCAATAAATTATTAAAATGATATTAAACTTGTTTGAAGAACTATAACTATTGAACGTGTGCGATTTCATCCGAAAATGTTTAATTCGCATTAACGTAATCTCGCTATTATCTTATAGTTTACACGATAAAGGAATTAGGATTTATGAAATTTTATAATTTATTATTAGAAAATTCCATATTATATTTATCTATAATCTTTTATAAAATACTTATATATTATTCATATACGTATGTTAATCTATGCTAATTTGCAACAGTGTCGAGAATTTTTAATGCGAGAAGAATAGTATTATTTATTCAAAAATATTATTTCTTCATCCAGATTGTGTCGTATAAATCCGTACGTCGTTGATAAAAAGTTGGAATTTGAGCTCTCACCTCGTCCACGATTTTGAGATCTATGAAATAATGAATTGGAAATAACTAGATTTTATATAATTGGATATATATATCTCTCTCTCTCTCTCTCTCTATATATATATATATATATATATATATATCTCTCTCTCTCTCTCTCTCTATATATATATATATATATATATCTCTCTCTCTATATATATATATATATATATATAGAGAGAGAGAGAGAGAGAGTGAGGCGAGAGATGAGAGAATGAAGGAATTCGTAATGGTATGCAAATGGAACTTTGTGCGTTCCTTCAATGATAAGTAGGTTCATTATTACCTATATCATAGATGATCATGTCCTCCGTGGAATCTAATTCATGAAGAATTTCCCCCCAAGGATTAGTTAGCTGTGTATGTCCCCATGCTATATAACCGGGAGGAGAACCACGAGCTGGCGATACGCAGGCGACGTATAATTGATTGTCATTTGCTCTGGAACGCTGCAGAAGTGACCAATGCAGTGGACCGGTGGTCATATTGAATGCAGCTGGATATATCAACATTTTACAACCTATTGACGAGGAACGAAAAGGAAAAAAAAAAAAGAGAAATAGAAAAAGTTATTAAAATAAAATAAATTAAAATAAAAAAGAAACTAGATTGATAAGATTATAAGGGTCGTCATTGTCCATAAAATGGACAAGGTCGATAATTTATAAATCGTAAAAATTTAAAGATAATTTTATTTCGAGAGTTTTGAAATTTCACCGACCCTGATTTCTATAGAGTCTCGCCATTTCTTCGAAACGAATATCATAGCAAATGCCAATACCAATTTTGCATCCCATCATTTCGAAGGTCAATAGAGAATTTCCAGGACTTAACGAATCACTTTCGCGGAATGTTATTTTTCCTTTGATGTCAATATCGAAGAGATGCATCTGTCAATAAAAAAGTTTACTTTATCCATCGAGTGATAAAAAAAGTAAAGTTTTTTTTTTTTAATAAAATTTCAATGTGGTATATTCATGTTGCATGTATATATATATATATATATATATATATATATATATATATATATATATATATCGTTTGGTGCCAAAATCGTACATGTATTATACAATTTATCACTCTCTCTTTCTGGAATTGTACCACCAATCACGTAAATATTATTTTTTTTGACTACATCGGACAATGCAATGCTCGTATATATAATATATATATATATATATATTGTTTTCTAAGCGAGAATTTTTGTCTCAGTTATGGGAGAGAAATAAAAGATATATCTTCTCAAATTTTTTTTGTTTAGATTTTTTAAATTGAGATTTAGGAATCATAAATTATTACCTTTCTATATTTGCCTATCATTTTTCCGTCTGGTGCCCAAATCGTACATGTATTATACAATTTATCACCTTCTCTTTCTGGAATTGTGCCACCAATCACGTAAATATTATTTTTTTTGGCTGCATCGGACAATGCAATGCTCGTTTGACCTTCTGGAATTTCTTCTGCATTTTTTTGGAAATGAGCTATATTTGCATATGCATATAAATTTGTATTATAAACAAATTTATGTATTAATATTAGTAATATAACATATACGTAAGTGTTTTTAAAAGGAATATTTTTTAAATGTAATGTGCGTACAAAGTTTATTGCATTTTTTAATACGAAGTTTTGATTGGTTGATTTGAATTTCGGAAGCCTATAAGTTTTCACGTAATATAAATTATGATGATTGTCTTTTTTTTCCGAAGAACACTTTGTAATTTACATTTGAAAAGATAACGAATGTTTTGAAAAGGTAATGGAATATACAAAACATGCGCGAGACGGATATGTTACCGTTCAACGAAACGAAGTTTGCTTATATCGTAAGTAAAATGTGAAAAATATAATTTATAACATTTACATGTTCCATAAGAAGAATTGAAACATTCTGGTAAAACAACGATGTTCGATTGATTTTCTTTAGCACGTTCGATATAATCTATCGCTCGTGTTATATTCCTTAATTTATCATCACTGACAGCAAGCTGCACTAACGCCAAACGGATTGCTGCAAATAAAATAAAATATTTCAGTTTTAATTTATTATTATTTATTATGGTTAGAAAAGTATTATTTCTTATACTGATCGATCGGATTATATAGGTTTGTTTATTTTACGTACTTGACATAGTCCTGAAGTACTGTTTGAGTATGCTCATATATAGCATATTATTTGTAGGTTAGTCGTGCATACAGCGCCAACACATATAATACTTCGAAAAATAACGTACATGATGACGTAAAACTAATATTAAAAATACAAATCACATAACAACTGGAGTATCATCGTATCAATTACGTAGATATCGGGCAAGATAATTGACGGAATTATCTACATAATACATAGTTCTATTAATTATGTCTCCATAGTTACATAAATAATGTTTTAAAAGATTATGTAAAAATAAGTTTTATTAAGAGAAAAAAATTATATATAAATGAAATAATACAATAGAAGTTTGCGGTTAAATGAGGAATATTAATGTAATTTTAACAAATGTACATCATCTTCTAGTTGATCTGGATCTCGATCTGGATCTTCTCTTTGGTGATCTAGATCGTGATCTTTTTTCTTTACGTTTCCTTCTATCTAATGTTTCACAATTACGAATATATTTGTCTTTTGCTTTTTCACGTTCCTTATCTTTCTTCTTTCGCTTTTTACTTGATTGTTCTGGCGAACTATCGTACTTTTTGTGTTTTTTAGTTTTCTTAGATTTTTTTGGCTTATGTCTGCTACTACTGCTACTACTAGAACTTCTTCTTTTTCTGTTTTTCCTTTCAATACTACTATCACTATCGGACGACTGTCTTTTGTGCTTTTTCGTTTTCTTTTTATTATCATCTTTTTTCTTTTTTCTTTTAGTGTGTTTTTCAGTATTACCTTTTTCATCCATTTCATATTGTTCCTTTTCGCTATTTTGATTACTTTTGCTTCGTTCAGAAGATGGAGATTTTTCTAATTCAGTTGGTTCTTTGTTTTTATATTCCTCGTACTTTGCTACATCTGAAATCAGTGTCATAAAATACTAAACACTAAACTTTCAACACCTATTAAGGTATTGCGATAATATAGAGACCCTTAAAAAGTATTTTGACAGTAACTTATTGTAAAATACATTATCAATTATCTTTAACGTAGATATATAAATACATGAACCTTTTAAAGATCCCTAGATAGGAAATGTAATTCATATACTAACTTAAAACTTTAGCTTTCTTAATATATTCGTCTTTTGTAACAGGTTGAACTATAAATTCGTTTAAAGAAATAGCATTTCCTCCCAAAGCCATTTTTATTATTAATCTTCCTGCATCATCATCTAATCCTTCTATTTGACCATAAGTGTTAACATATTTGCCGCTTATGATCTTCACATATGTACCCTTTTTAATTTTTATTTCTTCTTCTTGTTTATCTTTAGAGTTAGTTGCTTGTTTTTGTAATGTTACTTTGTCTGCTCCAAGGCCCATTCCTTTTGGACGTAATTCAGGTATAACAGTTGAAACTACTCTATAAAATATAATATAAGAAAATAATATTTTTTTACAAATATATAATATTAATATTTATATATAATATTTGTACATTAGAAAAAGTTCATACTTTTCATTTTTTCCAATTCCTCGTCCTGGTTGCCATCCCATTCCACGCAACATAGCAAGACCAAACGCATCTATTGGAATTCTTTCATAATCTTCTAAAGTAGACTGTAAAAATTAAAGTAATATGGTTTAAAAAGAATTTCATAAGATATAAATAATTATAATATTATAAAAATTTATATATTAATAATTAATAAAGATTTATGAATATTATTTATTAAAATAAATAATTATATTAATCATAAAATAATTATAAAATTTAATCGATAGAATTAAACTTACTTCTTCTTGTCCTCTCAAAGCTTTTTCTTCTTCCGTTATAGATAAAGTTAACACTTTAGATTCTTCCTTTTTTCCTGTAGATCTTAAATCTTCTATAATTTCTTTAGCTGCCTGTTCTTCCAATGTCGTTTCTGTAGTAGTTGTATCTACTGGTTCTGTTTTAATATTCGTAGAAGGAATATCTGTATGAATTGGTGTTGCATTTCCATTAGCTATTTTGTTACTTGGCTCTTGTTTAATATCACTTTTTACTTTCACTTTTTCTTCATTTGGCACTGGTTTGGGCTCAAAAATATCAGCATCAATTTTATTGATAATTCTATCGTGCCACGTTTCAGAACCCAACAAAGGAATGACCAGAGGTTCATCTTTCTTCTCCTCTTCTCTATAGAATAAAATCAAATCTTAAACATCTCATTCTCATATATAATGTTTACTATCTAATATTTAATAATAAGGTTAGAGATAGTTTTTAGATTTTTCTTAGTTTTATTAATATATTATTATTATTACTTACCCAATTACTTTAATACCTTTGTCATCAAGACATTCAATATAGTCGACTTTTTTTTGTTCCTGAGAAAGTGTATTTTTTAATACAGGTTTTTTAATAGTTTTTGCAAAACCAAACGAAATTTTTTTTCCTTCTTCTGTCATTTTTAAATTGTATAATATAATAACACGTAAAAATATTATTTCTTCACAATTTTTAATAATATTATACGGATTTCATTAATCGATTGATATATTTACATTAAACTTTTAATAATTTTCTAGATTATTAAAAATGGTTATTCCACAATGTTTGTACAATCTACGAACGATCGATTTTAGACGTGAGACATATTAAGGTCTATATAGCGAAAATTTGAATGAAATGATCTACGTAGTAACATTTTCCCTAGAAACATTGGTTGGTATGATTAAAAGAGATCTAGTAATAAAAGCATAACTGGTGAAATACATCGATAGTAGTAACAAACTCGAACAATCGATACTTATATAATCGATAGAAATATCGAGATTAACGAGATTATTTTCGCGCGATATTTAAATTTTGAAGTTTTTATATGATAATATAAATTTTATAACAAATACATTTATTTTTTGTTGTAAGATCTATAAAAATATTATCGAATTTTTTTCTACACAATATTTAAACTTTCATCGATCGAAATTTTTATGAACGATTAAATAATATCCTATAATAATATCCTATAATAAAATTTCTATGAAATTATATTATAAAATCAATAGAAATATGTTTATATATATTCTATTATATATATATATATATATATGATATATATAGAATATATATATACTGTTTACTAAGAATATATGTTATATATACATAATATAATTAAATGAAATAAATTTGAAAATTATTATTTGAAAAAAAAAACAAACAAATAATTTTTCTTTTCATATTGTCTACTATAATTCTCGAATATTTTACTCGACATATTTTAAGAACATGAATTGTGGGCTTTTAAGAACACATATTTTAAGAACACAAATCCTCATTGAGATTTATTTGTTTTTCTTTTCATACTATAAAGAATATCAAAGCTCGAGTTTTAAGGCTTTGTTTAAAGAGGAAAAAAGTGGGAGTATAGGGGGGAGGGAGGGAAAGGGAACGGTTTGAGTTTCAGCCATGACAACTGAACGAACGGTATGCAGATACGAAGTTGGGGGTAAATCGGGAAGCCGTTCCGTACAGAGAACGTAGTGATCGTAGTTACTTCGAACAGTCAACGACATTGTGATACGACTGAGGTAACGGAAAACAGAGCGAGGTAAGTGATTTCATTACGTATAAATTAAATTTTAATATATACATATATATATATATATATATATATGTATATGATTATATATATTTAATTAATATATATAATTTTAATATACGTATATATTTAATATATATTATATTTTTTCACATTGAATATTTTTAATAAATTTAATTTAGTGATTTAGTTTTATTTTCGTGAAATTATTTTTTTTATTGTTTTAAATTTAAATTTCTAAACTAATAAAAAAAAACATCAAATTGGTACTGAGAAGTGAATCGCATATAAATTTTATGTATTATTAAATAAATAAATAAATAAATAAATAAATAAATATATATATATATCAATAATGTAATTAAAATAAAAAGAAAAAGTTATATTACGTTTATAAAAAATATTCTTTTTTTTTTTTATATTTTTACATATATATATATATATCTTTCTTTTTTTTAATTTTCAACGGTACTTAATTTTAAACGGTAGGCTTATTATTATTTAATTTTTTATACATTTAAATACATAGAAATAGATTTGAATGTCTCGTTAAATCTCGTGAGATGCATAAACGTGTGCACTTTTATTACTTCATGACATTTCTCGCGCTTGAACTGATGTTCCTCGTTATCGTCGCGATAATTAGGAACAGTAAACGCGGAATGAAACGGTCTCGTGGGCCGACATAACTGTAAATTTTGCAGGCGTAACCTTGTTGCCGGTGGTTACACTGGTACAAACTCGACGAAGATTTGTTCCGCTATGTGTCTTTTGCCCTGTCGTTTCGTCCTGCCTTTGACATAAACATAAGCAGTTTTCTTTATTATTATTACTATTTATTTATTACTATTTTCTTTCTCTTTTTTTTTTAAAGTTGCACCTGCTACTATCGAATTTAAAGTCTGTTGAAATTTAATGCTTATCAAGAATCCCCGACCATCCTTTAAAAGAAACAAATCGTTTTAGAAGTCTTTACTAATAAAATATTAATTCGTATTTATTTTAATTAAATTTTATTATCAGAATTCTCATTGATAATATTGTTTCAAATGTGAATTATTACAGAATTTTTTTAAAAGGATAAATTAAATTTTTTTTCTATAGTTTTTATAAAAAAATAACAATTAAGTTTGAAAATCTTTTTAAAAGTATTTTAAACGAACGAATTTAAAGTAAAATCTATTTGTCCGTATGATATTTTCTTGAGAGATCAGTTTGTCGTAATTCATTGTAATTTAATTTTTTTTTTTTAATATTCATCGAGTATCCTTCAGAAGAATTATTTCATAATTTTTTTAAAAGACGGTTTCTTTATTTTTTTCTTTTTTTTTTCATTTAATACCTTTCGTAAAAAAAATTAATGTCTTAAAAAAAATCAAATTTAAGTAAAAACATCGTTTTGTTCATGGGATTTATACATGTGTCTTTAGTTTGGGAGATTTTTGGATTGAGAAATCGGATCAAGTATCCGATGGTGGTCGTTCATAGATGCGTGCGGGTAGCACGAACAATCGAACAATCGAGCGAATCGTAGATCCGGCCGGAACTCGGCGTATAATGCTGCGGAAACGAGTGGGAAATTATATTTGTTATGGAGAATCGGGAGTCGAAGCGAGTTGTTGGGCAGCAGCGGTTCTACGGATCCTGAGAACGATCTCATCCGAGCGCGTCGAGAGACCGGACGGAACTCATGTTAAATGTGTATATACGTTTGTCGATTTTATTTCGTTCTGGTACGACATTTTCAGACGACTTTTTTATTTTTTTTTTTATCTATATCATCGTCGATTGCGTTTTCTTATTTTTCTTATCACATCGTATCGATTAATGACATTCCATGTTCATCAAGATTTTATAGACAAATTTTACGTTGTTACGTATCGATGAAATACGTTTAATTTATTATCGAGTAAATAATCTTTAATTAAATATTAATTATATGGCAATAGTATTTTTAAACGAATTAATATGTAATGAAATAAATGAAAAATGTAACGAGATACGATCCGATGATTTACAAATACTCGTCTTTATTGCTCATTGTAATTAGTTACGAATTCATTGTAATTAGTTCGAGCACGCATGTTATATTTTATTTTTATTGGCATGCAAATGACTAGAGGAAGGTACGTGACATTCGTTCCGGGTTGAACAAAAGAGTGAAACTGATGTATAGCTCATTATTGTTACATAAAATTTATTACAAGAATTAACGGTCCATACTCCGTCCAATTTGATCTTTCTTTTTTTTCTTTTTTGTTTTGTTTTTTTTTCGATCTATCGTTTATCTTATAAATTCTGACAAGAGGTATTCCTCTACATAAGAATAATAAAATAATCAATGAGAAATATATAAAATTAACTTTCTATTTTATCCATTGACTCATTTCTCTTATTTATTTTTAGGTAAATCAAGATGAGCGCCCTGCAATCATGTATAAACCTTTTAATGTTACATCTCGTATCGATCGAGGCGATCGGTGTTGGCCAAGCATGGCGCATATCGCCTTACTCAAAGACCGATTATTTCTTAGAACATCCATCTTGGCCTCGGTTGGATTCATCTGCTTTCGAAGTACGCACTGTCAGCGGTGTGGGTCGTTTGGTACCTTTAAACGATTTACGAAATCTTCCTAATAATCAAATAATCGAGAAGATTGATAACATCGAGCCGAATTCTTTATCTGATCAAGAAACTATCGAACGTGATTCAAGAGATATGTCATTGTATCAAAATGATCAGAGAAAGAATATAGATGATAATACTAGGAAGGATTTATCGATCGATGGAAAGACGAACGACAGTTCGACGTATCCACAAAAAATTTTCAAAACAAAAGTTTCCATGAGAGTATTCCCGATCGACGTTTGGGAGCAATCATTGAAAGCTGAAAAGAAAATCGATAAATCGAAAGATATTAACCATCGTGTACGCCGTGAAGCAGATAATGATACCAACATGGAAAAAATTGGTAGTATGTTGACGCTTCGGGAGGCACGATTGGCTTCTCCGGAAACATGGTCGAAACAGCCATTATCCGTTGAATTTCGACATAGATCAAATTTCGAACAGCCCCTTAGGGATCAGAACAATGATGCCGATGAATCATCGATTGGCTTAAGAAATTATCACGGTCCACGAGCCGATTTCATAACGAGTCACTATCGTCGTGGTTATCCGGACAATCGTGAATCTCGTGATACATTTTTTTCTAAGACATACGACGAGCTTGATCTACCTTGGTATAGAAACATGATACGAGAGAGGGATTACGATATACCACCATTACGTCGTCCATATTCCGAATATTATCGAACATATCCCGAACGAAATTATAGAATGGAAAGGGATTATTACATGCGTGTACCAAACAACGAACATTCTTATTATTACGATCGTTACAGGGACGAGGATATTGATCTTTACGGTAGAGCAAGGACCGCACCGAAACCCAAGAGAATCATTTATTACGCTACCTTGCCGGAGATCGTAAGGAAGCCTGTTGATCTTAGAAATTATCCTCGTACAGCATATGATGGTGGATTGACCAGGACAACCGTAACACGTGGTGGTACATTCGAACGTGTTCCCGGTAATGTAGATCCCACCAGGTATCGTTATCGACATCTCTACGATGGTTATGATTCTTACACAAAGAGATCGAGCTTTTACGATCGTCCTTACGTTGGATATAGGGACGACGAGGATCGTAGAAAGGGTTTAATCAAGGAGAATTTAAATGAGAACGATTCTGGATATGAAGCGAGTAACGATAGGAATAACAACGTCGTCAATCAGATACAAAATAGGGACGATGGTAATAAACTACCCTGGCCCGTCCAAATTGGTACAGAAGTTAGCGTAAAGGACGACGAGAGGATTCATGGGAGAAAAATTTTCGGGGAGACAATAGGCTTCGAAAGACTTCAAAATGCACCTGATCCTGTTGCAACCAGCGAACCTACTGGAAAGGATACTAATTGAAACTTTCTTTTTATTTCTTTCCTTTTTCTTTTCTCTCTTTTTCTTTTTTTTTCTTTTTTTTTTTTTAACGTGAAATGCATTTTATTAGAGAACGAGATGACCTTTTTTTTTATAATCTTCCCTTAGCCGAAAGATCTTAGTAATAAGTATAATTGCTAGTACAGTGGGAATTATCATTATTAATTTTCATTAAAATCTTCATTTCTTATTTATATGTTTTATTATCTGTAAAAGAGATTTTATTATGCGTTTAATATTAATTTTCACTTGATAGTACAGTGAAATCTTCATTGTTCGTACGTTTATTATTTATATACTTTTATTCATTTCGAAACCTTTTTCCAATCTTTGTCAACTAAATTTGTTTGTTTTTTATATTAATGTATGTCTCTTCATTAATTTGGACAGTGAAGATTTCACAATAACATGTTCGCATTCTCTCTCTTTTTTTCTTTTTCTTTTAAATGGAAAAAAACAATTGGTTTGTAGCGCTAATTGGGAATGGAAAATGGTTTATTGGTTAATGGGTTGTTGGTAGATAGGTAGTGGGTATTGGGAATGGTTGAATAACTCGCATTAATTTTAGCGAGAAATATTATTTTTAATATCTTTCATTTCTTTTTTCTTTCCTTTTTTTTTATCAACACGAAAGCACGAGATCTTTATTCGCATCGAAACAAAAGTATTTAGTATATTTGATTTATTTACGATTATCTATGATTATTTTATTTTGCTTTTCTTTTCCTTTTTTTTTTTCTTTCAAGTCGATGTATAAATTTTGTCGAATGTTGTTTTGAATAGAAATTTAGCCAAATCATCTGAGAAACTTCTCTTCGACGTGATCTTGTTCAAATCTGCTGGCCAAGTGTTGTTTACCTGTGTGTGTGTGTGTGTGTGCGTGTGTGTGCATACGTGTGTGAGGATGCGCATGTGTGCGTATGTGTGTTTGTAAAGAAGACGAATTTTTTAATCAAATAAATTCGAATAAATTTTTTGCTCATTTAAAATTTCATTACCGCGTTAGGTTTTTCGTTCATAAAGTTTGTCAATTCTTCGGGTGTCATGTTTAAAATATTACAAGCCGTCTCGTGCGCTTCTCTCTCGCTTGCTTCGTCTTCATAGAAATTTGTCTTTCCATTATCTTTTTCGTCGCAATGTTCGTGAATTTTTTTCAAAAATTCCTAATGACAAGACTTTATCAATGATCGAAGAAAATTGAATAAATATAATTCGTTAGAAATACTTCACTTTAATAGCTTTTGAATATTCGATGTTTTTAGTCTCGAAAGTGATTAATTTCTCTTTCAAAACTTTAATCGCGTCCTCGCATTTCATTTTAATAGCATTAATCTCTTTCCGCATCGATTCCTCGTGCTTTCGATTTATCTGAGATTCGATCTGTCAACGATAAACAAATAAATCTTTTGTTCCTTCAATTTATGAATTATATAAGTATATATATATATATATATATAAATATATATATATATATATGTATATATACATAAGTATATAGATGTACATTTTTATAAACAATTTGAAAGAAAATATTTTCTATTGGAGAGCGTTAATTATTTTTTCTTACCTGTTCTTTCAAATCCGTTTCAGATTTTTCCATTTTGCAAGCAAGGTTTAACTTCTCCTCGTTTATTAAAGAAATCTGTGTTGTCGAAAATCATTTATTTACGTTATATCGTTTATTTATGTTATAGTGCACACGAATAGGAATTATTTATATACTTTGGCTTTGAGTTGTGCGTTGCTGGTTCTAAGTGCAGTCAATTCGTTTTCCAATTCTTTGATCTTAGACGTAAATAGATCTTTTTCCTTGGCAAGGTCCGATATTTGACCTTTGTAACTGTTCAGTAAAAATCCTTTATTGGCGTTTGCTGATTCCGATCGTAATAATCTGTATAATTATTATTTTCTTTAATTATTTTATTTTATTTTATTTCATATATATGATAATATTTTGAAAATATAATAACGTTTAGGAAATAGTTAATTTCAATTGATTTTTATTTTTTTTATTTTTAATTACAATAATTTTCGATGCTAATCGTAATAATATACACATTATTATGTATATATTATTATTATTATTATTATTATTATTATTATTATTATTATTATTATTATTATTATTATTATTATTAAATATAATAACATTTTATTGTATTTCCAATTGATAATTTTAATTAATATTATACTTATTAAATTATAATGATATTTATAAAAAATATAATATAAAAGAAAGGAAAAAGTATTCATGAAATTTTTAAGGAAAGCCGTTCAAACTCACTTGTTATGAAGTTGTTTGATAGTTGCGCAATCTTCTTCAGACTTTTTCTTCAAATTAGCGAGTTCTCTGTATTTCGGTAACTCGCGCATTTGCGTAACACTGATCTTTTCGTTTTGCTCCTTACCAATTTTCAATTCCATCCATTCTTTCATATCCTCGAATTTTTTACGAAGAAATGCGTTCTCATTTATTAGATCGTTCAAATTCGACTCGGTAGTTTCCATTTCTTTTTTTAAAATTGTAAAACATTTGTTTACTGACTCATAATCATTCGACTTATCTTTCAATTCCTTTCGTGTTTTCGATAATTCATTCTTTAACTTTTTCGATGTTGAGATTGCAACTCGTAACTAAAAAAAAAAATTGTTTTTTTAATTGTAATACGTTACTGGCGATATATGTATGTACAGATAGTATGTTATTTTAAAACGAATATATACAAATACCGATATACCTTTTTATACAATCGTTTCGATAATTTTCCAAAATATCTCGAAGATCTACGATTATTATTTTGAAATCCATTTCCTTTGTTATTCGACAACGCGGAAGATCTTAATTTTTCCAAAACCGAAGTGCAGATTTGTATGATCCTTTTTTGCAACACATCATTTTTTTTACAAGCTTCCATTTGTACATTTTGTGCGATCCTTTAATAAATATATTAATTGATATTAACTTTAGTGATAGTATATGGTAATAAAATATATATATACAAAAAACAAGATAATATAATACATATAGACGATAGACCTTTTATATTTTTCTTTGACGGAATTTTTCTTTCTTATAGCTTCTTCGAGTTCGACTTTAGTCTCGTTAAGTTTGTTTTTCAAATCGAAAATAATGTTCTCGTAACTGAAAAATAATTTTCATATAAAAAACATGATTTCATTTACAATCTTCACAATATTCGAATCAAAACTTACTCGACTTCTTTATTGGTCGATTTCACGCTTTTCTGCCATTCCTTTCTAAGTCATCGGTAAGTTTCGTCGTGAGAATGTAAAAAGCGTAATAATATTTGAATTTAAATAAATTTAAATGAATGATAAGTTTTTATGTGTTGAATAAAGTAGAATATTTCGTGAAAAAAGTTTGTCAATACAAACATTTTACATACTCTTTGCATACCTCATTCCCTCTGTTGAGGGCTTCTTCGATCAACCATTGAGGTGCTGGTTCTTCAACGATATTTGTACATTTTTTGTTTTCATCATAAAATAATAAAAATGGAGTAGAAGGACTTGCATTATCATTTTCGTCGGTGTATCCGTGATTTTCTTCTTCTTCGTTCCAAAATTTACGAGTTTGCGTGAAGTTGGATCTCGTTTCAATATTGTTTTTTTGAACTATCAAATTTTATACATTATTTTATTAATGAGTATGAAAAAAAAGAATAATATTTAAACGTTATATTTAATTGAATTGATTTTCGCGTTTTTTTCAATATTATTTTTTTTTCTAATACTTTTGATACAAATTATTTTATTAAATAAGTTAAAAAGAAAAGGAAAAAGAAAAATTTATGAAGAAATATCATATCCCATCAAATCTGTTTTAATATTTTGTAATTTGCACGATTGCAGTGCTCTATTTTATCTAATGAGTTTCACGGGATTGTTATCGTTCGCTAGCTCCATCTACAGGATCGACTAGTTAGTTACTTGATAAAAATGAAATGTCAAGTCGATAAAAATGTTAGATATTTTTTTGTTAAAAAAGTAATTTCAATTTGAAAATAAAAGTACATAAATATTTTCTTCTTTCATATTTGTCAATCAAAATTCGTCAATCAAAATTTTAGAAAAAGAAGAAAGGGAAAGATTATTATTATTATTATTATTATTATTATTATTATTATTATTATTATTATTATTATTATTATTATTATTATTATTATTATTACTATTACTATTATTATCAGATTATTATTGGAGATTATATAATTATTATTGGACAAGACACAAGAGAAAGAGAGAGAGAAGAAATAGATAGAAAGAAAAAAATTATAAAACGATTACTAAAAGGGATCGTTAAGGAGGCAAGAATTTGGCCGTTAATTAACGTCGGTCGTGTCGACGTAAAGAGGTTCGATAATTTATCGCGAAACGATAAATTCGTGGATTCGATCGAGGGGGGAAAGGTAAAACTGTTGTGGAGGAGGTCGATGATATTATTGGATATTATCGGGCCATATGGAATTTGGGCCTGAAAATGGTCCCGTGCGCAGGAAATTGCTAACGACTTAAACGTTTGGGGCGGTTCACGGGGACCCTAAGTTCAGTTCCGAGGACCCAGTTATGATGGATGGACTTTGGCCAGTCTGTAATTTGAAGGCGTTATATATGTACCTCTAACACGTTGTTCGAACAACGATGATCCTCTCCGTATGTCTCCTTCGTTGGCCTGTCTGTTCTGTTATTTCCTTTTTTTTTTTTAAAGGAGAAAATGTTTTGTACCTTATTTCAACGGAGATAAAGTTTTAACTCTCGTGTAATGAAACGTAACGCCGTATAACATCGAAATCACATATTCAGACACTTTATATCTCAAATTTCTAATATTTTTTTGTTTATGTTCCTTTTTTTTTTATGTATAAGTCATACTTAATACAGTATAAAACGAATCAAAAATTTTTGGGTGATTTTTAAAAATCTAAATTACTCTTTCTCCGATAATCTTTTCTTTTTTTCAGATTATCGAATTACAAGCCTGGGAATTGTTGATCTATCTATAAACTTTTGCCCCATCCTGTACAATTATACTAACAGGTATATGCGATACTCTGGCATTCACGTTATATTATTTTGTTGTAAACACGTGAAAAAATTCGATTACAATGGATTAACAGAATTTATCATCAAAAAATTTCTGATCGGGAGTGACGAAAGTAAAAGAAAATTTATTATCTTTCAATTTTCTTTCATTTTGTTTTCGATTAGGTCATAGGAATGAATAATACGGACAACGAATTTAACGAAGCCGATGTTGCCCATCGATATTTCGTTATGTATAACGCGTATTTTACGCGCGGTAACTTAATATCAGCTTTTTTCTCTTCTTTTTTTTATCTTTTTTATTTTTATTTATTTATTTATTTATTTTTTTTTTTTTAAATCCTATTCCTCGGAATCAATCGTGACTACAATCGGAGTTATCGAATAACACAGCGCTCGCGTTTCATTATTTTGCATTAATTAATACTTGTTAGCACGGACTCACGTAATATTTTGCGAATGCTACGTGTTGAACAGAGTAACTAATTAAATTTGTTCGCCAATTATACCTGCGATCCGATGCTGCCAATTTTCTCTACGTTTTGCCCTTTTGGTACACTAATTAATTTCCACGGTCGAGCTCACTTTATTTACGCGTGACAAGCTTCAAAATTGCACCCACATGTCGGGGTATATTTACGGGGCACGGGTAATGCAGACTGCGTCCGTATAAAAATTCTCTAACGTTAAGCCCGTTATTTGCATTGTGCTCGCCCGAAAATCTAACTCTCCCGCTTTATCGCGAATTCCTATGGTTTTACATATATCTACCTACATATATGATTCCTACCCGAAAGATTTTACACGCTTTGCCCTTCTCTGTTTTTTTTTTTTGCTTTTTTTCCGTTCCATTTTTATTTTTTCCAACCAACCAAATATACCTATGAACATGAGCATAGATATCGGAGAATATTATTCGTTGTTGGAAGAAAAGAGAAAAAAATCATCAAGAAAATTATTAATCTTTATGACTGTTCTTTTTTTTCAAATATAATTGACAATTGCAGTAAGTAAATAGATTTATTATTAGATGCGTATAGATAAAACTCAGCAATAACTCGTTATAAACGAATTTATACGAGATAACTTTGCAAAGTCAGCTTAACGTTTCGTTTCGTATAATCAAAATCAAATATCTGGACGATAATAAAAAAAAAAAGGAATTGAAAAAACAAATCAAGTATAGTTGAGATCTCAAAATGAAAAAAAGTTTATATTTAAAAGAGAATAAGAGCGTTGTCTCAATAGTTTATATACCGGTGTTATATACCCTTTCGATACGCAAGAACGATCAGCTGGTGAACCCTCGACTACGAGTGCCCACCCCGCTAACGTGGAATTATTCTGGATAATATGTGGATAGTTAGTCCGCGATTAGCCTGTCCAGTGGATTATATTCCTCCCCCTTTTCCTTCCCCGTAGTGCCCCGCGGCTTGGCAACATCATGATAAATGACCGAATCCTTTACAAGTTTTTAGCCGTGAACCGTTTAGTTCATCTCTTCTTTCTTACCCCTTCCCACATCCCCTCACCTCACCCTAACCCATCTCCACTCATCTCTTTTCCAATCCTTCCATCTTCACAATTCGTGACTCTCTCTCTTTCTTTCTCCCTCTCTCTTTCTTTCCCTCTCTCTCTCTCTCTCTCTCTTTCTCTATTTTCTGTCGAAGGTCGTCGCCACAATCGTGCTGTAAATCACTGTAAACGTTGACGTAAACGCCACGGGTAATTAGATACACTTACCAGCAATGATCCTCTCTACCCCGGCATCATTCGCAGTCTCCTTTTTGTTATCCAATACTGCCGCGTTCTTGGAAACCTGAAACGAGAAGGAAATTCTTTCGAGTATATATTGTATATTCGATATTTGAGAAGTTTCTTCTGTACCACTATCATCGACGAACTTATTTTTTTGTTCGACTCTTTTCTTTTTTCTTTTTTTTCTTTCGGTTAATCGATTGACGATGATTTTCTTGGATTAGACCGAATCGAAAAGATACACATCCACACACACACACACACACACACACACACACACGCGCGTATATATGTATATAAAAAATATCAATGTTCATTAATTTAAGAGTTAATTTATTATTTATCAGATTACATTAAATTCAAAGTGCGTTTTTTTCTTTTTTCGTTGTTCCTATTTATCATAATTAATGTTGAAACCTCGATTGAAGTTTCTTTCAAACTTTTCACGAATGAGTTCGATCTAAGTACTTATTTACTTATTTAGTTAGTTACTTACTCACTTACTCGATATATACAGTTAACGAAAGAGAGTAAACACGAAAGTTCAGTTTCTCAGGCGTATACAAGGAACGAATAAACGTCCTCGTGAAGATATTTACGGTCAGCCGTTATTAAAATTAAAACGACAGTGCGTTAAAAAGGTTACACCATCTAGGGTAGATTGTCTCTTTTTCTCCCTCTCTCTCTCTCTTTCTCTCTCTTTCCTTCTTCTTCTTTTTTTTGTCGGTACATCGCTAATCCATCGAGCAGCTTAGCCAAGCGGATGAGAGGTAAGGGTGGAAGTGGAGGTGGGGGAGGCCTAAGGGTGGGCAGGAAAGGAAAAGAAGGAAGGTCGTCGTTTGCCGGTGTGACTTTGGGGGCTGTGCATTTGTGTTTTCGCGTAGATTGCAAGAGAGAGAGAGAGAAAGAAAGAGAGAGAGAGACTACCCCTACGGCTAATTTTGAGACTCACCGTTGTTTATTGCCGAATCCTTTTAGCTTCGAATAAGGGTGTGAGTTTATTCTTAGGAAAGGACGTGGAAGTAATAGTAGTAGTAGTAGTAAGTACGAAGGGAAAAAGGGGGAAATGTTCGTCGCGCGATATAATAAGCGGTAAAAGAAAAGGGGGATTTTCGTAGATGTAAAGAAGAAGAGAAGAGAAGAGAAGAGAAAAGAAGGGTAGGTATAGAAGGGTGGGGAGACGGTCGGGTGATAGAAGGGTGGCGATCGTTAGCGAATCCAGTAACAAAGTATTACTAACGACCTAACCAACTCTGATATTTCTTATTTTCTTACGATCCCTTTAATACGTTCTTTCTACTTACTTACTTACTTACTTACTTACTTACTTACTTACTTATTTACTACCCTTCGTGTAGATGTGAGGAGACTCTTTAAATTGACTCTTAAGTATTAAAAAATCATGTATTCTCTCTCGGGAATCGTGTCGTTAGGATCGACACGGGAACGGACGAGAACGGATTTCATTTATGGCCGATGGTGTATGATACTAGCTACTACGACCAGCGAAATGTCGACATTAAAATCGCATTTGCCGGTTTTCCATAGTTGCCTATGGAAGAAGTCGCGATCATCGATTAGTTCGGCTACACTCGAGAACGGGATCGTAGAGATACTGATTTCCGCGTGCCTACATGATATACAGTGAAGAAGTAGATATACTAGAAGTAAATATATGTATATGTACGTACGTATGTACTAACGTATACACGTTTGTATGTATGATATGTATGTATGTATTTATTTATCTATGTGTATATGTAGTATGTGTGTTAGTAGTAATGGCTTGTATGGAGACACTCCTTCCACTTTTTTGAGTTTCCTCTTTCAAATGCGTTATTATCGTCGTCCTCGTATTGCCTACTGGACTGGTAATACGTTTTTCCTCTTTTTCAAGGAGATACAAAAGAAAAAAGAAAATGAAGAAATCAAAAAAAAAAAAGAAAACTAAGAAGGAGAATAAAAAGAAGTAGTAGTAGTAGAAGAAGAGGAAGAAGAAGAAGAAGAAGAAGAAGAAGAAGAAGAAGAAGAAGAAGAAGAAGAAGAAGAAGAAGAAGAAGAAGAAGAAAGTACTCAGACGGTAATGGAAGAGCACCTGTTTCAAAAGGGCAAGCGTGTTTACGGAATCGGGCTTGGTTTTTGCTCCGGCGAACGACGAAGACGTCATCACTCCGTCGTCTCTCCGTCGTCGTTCGACTCGAAGGTTAAGGGGAAAACGTCGAGCGCATATCGGTTCCCTCGTTTCATCGGGGCTCTCCAATAAGAGTACACCTATAATTTGTAACGTGGCTCGGGTACCGGCCTAATGGAAAAATGCGTTCCGGCCAATTTTACGCGCGGCCGTCAGAGCAGGTTGTTGGCCGTAGTGCCGGTGTAAGCAGAAGAAGAAGAAGAAGAAGAAGAAGGAGAAGAAGAAGAAGAAGAAGAAGAAGACGAAGACGAAGACAAAGAAGAATAAAACGAGGATGAACGAAGAGAGGATTGAAGAGAGAAAGAAAAGAAAAGAAAAGAAAAAAGAGAAGAGAGACGAGCGTGGACGTCGAATGAAGATGGGAGGGTGGATTTAAATGTACCACAAAAGAAGTAAATCTGTAATAGGATTATAATGCGAATCTCGTCTGGTTCGCGCTCGTACGGGCCGAGTCGGGCTGGACCGGGCCGGGTCGAGCCGAGTCGGGCGTGGCATATATATTCTCTCTCGTGTTGTTTTATGCCTGTTGTACATTACAGGACGTATGTATATACGTAAGTATGTATGTACACGCCGTGTCCGCTAGTAAGGTACATGACTTCCTCGATCGAGCTCTTTACGTGCGTCCATTGGTCGTTTGTTCGTTCGTTCGTTCGTTCTTTCGTTCGTTCGTTCATTCGTTTAACCCTTTAACGTCCTCGACGTAATCTTATGTTCCATCCGCATCAGAGAATACGATCGATTCATTCTGACACGATGTTCAATGATTGTCGTGAAATTTTCGATCTAATGTATTCGTATTATCGTGAGAATTCAAACAGTAAGAACAAGTGAAAAAGAAACAGACAGACAGAGAGAGAGAGAGAGAGAGAGAGAGAGAGAGAGAAAGAGAGAGAGAGATAAAGATAGTAGAATTTTATTTTAATATTACGTGTATCTACACTCTCGAGAACCGGTCTCTAGCTTCGAATAAAACGATAACGACGACAACGACGACAACGACGACAACGACGACGACGACGACGTCGACGTTGACAATGAAGGACGATGATATCGGAATTTAATTGGAAATCGTGGTAACTTAATATTGAATATTTCTTTTTTCTTCTTTCCTTCTTGCCGTTTCTTTTTTTTTCCTTTCTGTCGTTGCTTTTTTTGTTTTCCATACACTCCAGACATATCAAATGAAATAAAATTCGATGAGATTGAATATTATAATAGGTTATAATGTTTCGATATGAGGTATATACGTGTATGAATTTGGTATTATACATATTATTACACGTGTATGGATATAGGTACTATATGTATATATATGTAGGGTATAGTGTAAAACTATGTAATTGCGATTTACGTCTACGCCTGCGCATATCTTTCATATTTCATTACGAGAGAAAGAGATAGAAAGAAATAGAGATAGAGATAGAAAGGGAGAAAGAGAAAGAGAGGGGAGACAGAAAGAGAGAACTATTGGTAATTATCGGTCCATGTGAATTCGGCTTTTTTTATCGAAAGACAATTATTTAACTCGTCGAATGTCGAATCGTGTTCAATTAGGACCTCCATTGATATGAACACCGCGATAGAGAATGATTCGCGGAGTTTGGCGCCGTGCCGATATATCGAGCCGATTTTCAATCCTCTCTCCCCTTTCCCCACCTGCCCTATCCCCCATTCTCCTTCCTCCACCCTACCACTTCCTCCTACGTTGCTTCACGATATGCGAATAAATGGATTTCTGTCAGTCAGCGTTTGATAATATTTGTTCACGCGTGTTAAATCGTTTCGCTCTTGCGACAATTAGATTCCTTTGATTCATATTTAAAGTTAGTTTTTTTTATCTTTTTCCTTTTTTCTTTTTTTTTTCTTTCTCGCTCGTGAAATCAATTGCAAACTTTGTGTTGTCTCTGTGATCGAAAGAAATCGTTATTCTTGAATGATCGTGAATAATGGTGAAATAAATCGTGGTTATAAACGTATATATATATATATATATATATATATATATATATATATATATATATATATATATATATATTTGACGATATATACAAAAAAAAAACAGAAAAAAATCACAGCTTGAATTATACATTTCGAATGATTTATTCAGATCGTGACTTATTAATTTGGATCGTAGCTTTTATTTAGATCGTTAATATTGAAGCTTATAATATAATAATAACTGAGTTATAACTCATTTATATAATAATAACTGAGGCTTATTCGATCATTCAGAAGTTCGTACGTTAGAAGAATGCGATGATGTTTGTTATATATATATATACATGTATATATTATCTTTTATATATATATATAAGAAAAAAATGATCTCAAGCAATGAGAAAAAAGAAACGAAAGAAAAAAGGAATTAAAAAAGGAATGAAATAAAAATTCCAGGATAATTCCTTTAAGATAAAGTAATAAAATCTGTTCGAGATATGGTCGAGCGATGTTTTGGTTGATATCGATGAGACACGAACGAGCTTGCTCATTATCAAAGACCCTTTCGATCGGCCTTTTCTCTCTCTCTCTCTCTCTCTCTCTCTCTCTCTCTCTCCCTCTCTTTTTCTCTCTCTCTTTCTTTCTTCTTTTACCGATTCACTCGTACGTTTTAAAGTCTCCGCGTAAATCGTTCGTCGGAGAGTCGCGTTCTCGCGTTTAAAGAGGTGAGAGAGCCTTTAACGGGTATCGTCGATCTCGAGGATCTCTTGGGCCTCAGGAGGACAGAGTTTCTCGTTGGTGTGGGACCGAGCATTTAAATGGTCCCGCGGTGGTGGTACGGTCGTTATTGCTCGTGGTCTTTGATTAACAACAACGCTCGTGCGGAACGTTCGAGAGGGAAGAGAAACCGAAAAGAAAAAAAGAAAAAA